CACAGACGGTAGGATTTCTTGGACGAGTGATTATCCCGTTGAGAGGCCTCTATCTAAACACAGGACAACACAAACACAGAATAAACGCATAAACACAGCAAACATCCATGCCTAAATTGGAATTCGAACCCACGCTCCCAGCGTCCGAGAGAGGGAAGAGAGTTCATGCCTTAGACCGCGCGGCTACTGTGACTGGTCAAACACATTTAGGGCAATTAACAGCAAGTTATTATACGTATAGCGACGACAGTATTAAAAATAACAACAATGAAATATACACTTACCGTAAGCGACACTGCTAGGCATGCGATCCCGAGTCCGACGATTTTAAGATCCAGGAAATATAAATCGATTTCATTGCCTATTAAACCGAACAGAAACGGGTAGAAGATGGTCCACAGGACTGCGAAGTTCTCTGACACAGGATTCTAAAAGCACACAATCTCATGCAATGTTACACAGAATGCAATAATTGTATTTATTTCACCGAACAATCCCAAACCGGGTAATAAGACAAAGTCAAGTAAATAAACCTGTAAACTCCTGTGCAGATATGGAATGCAACAACATTAGTATTACTGTGAAAAATTTGAGTAAGCACACCTAATTTTAACAAAGAATGTCATGATTTTCATGGGCATGATAAGGAGTGTTTATTCTGCAATTGCAATTTATGGAAACATTATAAGTACAGTTTATTTCTAAATATGAAAAGAACATATCCTCTTGGATTTCACACTGCCAAATGCAACGAACAGACACATAATGAAACGTCATCTGTATAAAATGTGTTGAGCAGACGAGAAATGAAAAGGGAAATTGAAAGTTTTAAATGGCCCACAAGAGAGTCTAAACTAGGAAGACCAAACACATAGTCACGCAGCCGTCTTCTAACTGAGATCATCACTGAAAACGCTGAGACCTCGCCCGAAACACAAACCACAAGACCGAAATGGATCTCGCAAGCCTCGTGAGCTGCCCCTTCATTTGCTGATCTGGGTATTCTCAACGTCAAAGAACTCTGTGCTTGTGTGGCACCCGTGGTCCGTCTTGACGAAACAACCACCTTTATGGAAGGAACTAAATTTCGACATTAACACCATTTATATTGGAAAAGTGTGTGGCTTACTGCGGAGATAGCTACAGCCACGTAAACTGAATCTTTGCGGTAGGCAGGACACCAACGGCATTCTTCGACAGTTGCTGAGAGCAAGGGCCGTGCCATAGCTCAGGCGATTAGTCGCCGGGTTCCCACTCCGGCGGCCCGGGTTCAGGTGAGGTCATGTGGGATGTGTGGTGGGTGAAGTGGCAATAAAGCAGGTTTTCTTCGAGTACTTTGGTTTCCCCTGCCAACTCTCATTCCACCGAACGCCCCACACTCATCAGTTTTACTATCCGGGGCTGGTGCAACACGCCGTGGCTGACGTATCAAGTAGAGTGAACTCAGTCTTACCCCACCCCACGAAATAAAAAGAAAGTACCAAGAGCAAATAGACGCAGCGAGAGTGTGGAAATAATTGGATGCACGGGGTCGCGAAAGAAGTAGGAAGTACTGGGGGATATTTTATCGAAATCTCCGTGCTTAGCCCTGGCCATTCTCAACATAATGCGAGCAATAGATTCACTTGAGTTCACTAACTGGGAAGATGGCTATAGGGTTATGGGAGGGCCTTAGTTTCAGTGCGTCACCCTTCATCTCCCTTCCGAAAATTCTGCTGCAAGAACTCCCTCTCTATTTACTGCGTTTTTTCCCATTACAAGCACCCCAGATAACTTCGCCCTGGTGTAACCCTACAAACAGCCACTTTCCTGTTCGCCGTTCCTCGGGCTCCATCTACTCTTGCCCTCCCGTGACTTTGAGTGACAGTCCTTCTTACAACCTGGATATAAAATCCAGCCGATCCCTCATCCTCATATGGGGACATGGATCACGGATTGCGGAGGCAAGGAATGCGTACACAATTCTAGCAGAAAACCAGAGGGAAGAGGCCTCTTTCAGGTGGTTGTTACTGATGCCAGAATATTCAAAATGTGTCTTAATGGGGGAGAAGAGGAATGCATATAGAATACAAGTGGAAGAGCCAGAAGGAAAAGAGACCACTAGGAAGACCAAGACGTAGGTGGGTGGACAATATTGAAATGGATCTCAGAGAGATCGGATGGAATAGTATGGACTGGAGGGATCAGTGGAGGGCTCTAGTGAACTTTCGGATTCCATAAAATGCTGGGAAATTCTTGAGTAGCAACACAGTTTGCGGCTTTTCACGAAGGGCTCAGCTCCATGAAGTTAGATTTAGTTAGAATCTTAAAGACGTATGACTGGAGTCATCTGAATGAGGGTAGGATCTAATGGGAGGCTCTTGTGAGCACGGTAAGAGGCCTTCCATTCGCAAACGTGGCGGGGAGGTTTTCTCCGAGTAATACGGTTTCCCATCCGTGGTCTTTTAGTCCGCAAGTGAACTATACCGACCGTGCGGCCGCCGCTTGTCGGGGAAGTTAGTGCCAACTTTTGCGAATAGAGGGTGTCGCGTGGTTAGCGCAACGGATTCCAACGGACGTTAATCTCGGTTTTCCAGACCGAAGCCGCTACTTTTCCATTCAAGGAGCTCCTCAACTATCTCCACGAGGCTGAGTGGACCCCGTTCTAGACCCACAACTTCTCAGAAAATCTGGTAGCACCGGGAATCGAAACCGGGACCTCTGGATCTGTAGTCAGCAACTCTGACCACTAGACTACACAAATCACGGTTTCCTCTGCCAATTTTAATTCCATGGGCCGTTTAAAATTAAATCATCTTATCATCTGACAGTACATAATCTCGAGAGTGACAGCATCATAAGTAAAACAAGCCAATTCAGAGTAGCAATGAAGGTACCCAGGCGTTTAAACCTGACTGCTATTCCGCCCGCATTGCCTACCATTGCATTCAACCAATATGAAACACTTCACATCACCAGGTACCGAACCCGCAACTCCTCTGTGACAGTCCAGTGCTTAACCGTTTGGAATATGGCCCGGCCCTCTGATAACGGGAAAATGGATTGAAACTGTCCAACAATCTCTTCTTGTAGACGATCCGTACCAAATTTGGAACTTTTCAATGATTTGGCCTGTGAAACATGCAGCTTCTACTGTCTTGCTATGCCCTTAGTCGAAGCACTTCAAGCAACATTGCTTAGAAAGGATGTTAAAGGAAGTGGTAGTGGCCGAGTCGAGGTACTACAGCAGAATTCTTCCTGAGGATCTGTCTGCAATTCGGATGATCAAGAAAATCGTGCCTTTTGTGGTACTATGCTGACAAAAGGCCCACCACACGTCTATACTCTGTTCCAGTGTCCAGTTCCCTGGTGGAGGATAGATAGCGCTTCTGTCAAACCCCAAGCTGGAGCTTGGTTGATCGTTTCGAAAGTTGGCTGGAACATCGGCTGTCACGAAGCGTTTCGTATTTTCCCTCAGTCCGTCATGACAAGTGCCGGTAAAGTACCCTTATAATTTAGCCATCTCTTATTGTTTGATACTTCAACACTTAAAATGAGGGAGGGGGGTTATGCTCTTGAGATGTCAGTGAAATTCTACTGGACTACACGTGGTTATGTCCCAGAAGGTGTACTCATCACGGTGAGAAACTCAGATCCATAATACTCAGTACTGTAAAGCATATATCTATGCAACGGCGCGATTAACACTTCCTCGCGTAAGGTCACGCAACAATAGGAAGAAAGTTTACAGCTCGTTGCTAGGCAACAGACAGTGCGCCAATGGACTGGCGAGATAATTATCACATGACTTATTTTTCTGTGTGGTATGCGCTACAAAACAATAGAGGGGCTGTGTTTTCTCTGCGTGGTCCTTGCCGAGAGGATATGGGAATTCACTTCACTTGAGTTCCGAAGTTCCAAGGGAACAGTAGTGTGACCAGAAGAAGAATTAGAAGACTCAGTGTGTGACGCTACATGTGCTGTAGTTACAGTAATCTTGAGAGTATGGAACTAATTGTAGTTACGTCTAGTGAAGATCCATTAAACCAATTCACCAATCCAAACCCACGTCATAATCATTGTGATACACATAATAATATGTTTCACGTTGAAAATATTGTGCACAGATACATTAACATTCCCCCCATTTATCCGTTTAGCTCACACGAAAATTTCATCACCCAGTAAAATTTCCGAATTCAGCCCGCTCTAACAGAAATATTTCTGTTTAAATTCATTTCATTTTGGGGTCCAACGAAGTTTGGCATACTCCCCTTGAATCGTCTTGTATATCCTTGTCTTAAGCTTCAGAACTCACAGTTTCATCGGTCCATCCTTGGGCTTTCCAACCCCAGTTCGCCACGAATGCTGTCACAACGCAGCCCAGGGGACCTGCTCCGGCGAAGCCGACAGCCTCACTGCCGAAAAGTAGCAGTAGGCCGCCTCCACCCAGCAGCAGTGTCCTCAGGATTACCAGGAAGCGCTGAGGAAGCAAATCACACAGATCGCAATAGCGCAAATGTTCATATCAAAGCTTACTTGTCTCTGTGCTTAATTTAGCACCGCATCATGAAGGCGCATACAGGAGTGCAGCACAAGTTCCGCGTTTTCTTATTTCGGCATTAGATGGAGGCGAATAATCAGCTTCACCCACTACTTGCCTTATTCCTGAGACAAAACCGAAGGAACACATTGCTTAGGAGTCTGTGCGGATGCAATGGCGAAGAGAAGAGCCCCTGCAGATGCCGAGAATGGAACCTCAGTCTTCCAATCAATGGCCTTGACACTATACTGACTGAGCTATCCTGACTCTTGTCTGTTCGTGTGAAGGAGACAGATGCTGTATATGGGCAACGGCATATAGAGAACAGCAACAAATTTAGCTTTTAAATGCATGAATTCTATTAATAATTTTTTACCATAATTATATCTGGTATAGGATATTGGTGGGAAAGCCAGAAGGAATGAGACCACTGGGAAGACCAAGGCGTAGGTGGGTGGACAATATTAAAATGGATCTTAGAGATAGGATGGGGTGGTATGGATTGGATAGATCTGGCTCAGGATAGGGACCAGTGCAGGGCTCTTGTGAACTCGGTAATGAACATTCGGGTTCCATAAAATGCTGGAAAATTCCTGAGTAGCTACAGAATTGGAGGCTCATCCGGAAGGGCTCAGCTCCATAAATATGTAGGTAAGTAATTATATCTGGTACAAATATGGGTCAAGCAGACAATCCTGTGCTAGCCCTGATATTTTTTGACAGTTTACATTTCAGTTTTCAATTTTTCCATAGATAAATCTATAGACAAGTATATTTCGTCTCAGAAAATACGTACAGCTTTTCACAGATAACCATATTTGTGGAGATTAATTTCAATCAACAAATAACAGGATGTAGAAATTAAATGTCCCTGCGAAATATACGTTATTGTAGGAGAAAAGAGTGTTTCAGGCCAATTCTATCCTACATACAAAACACAGACCAAACAAAAGGCAAAACTGAGTCAAGGACACGCTTGATTTATATACATCAATAAGGGACTTGATTCTTATGTCAGTGCTTCTAAGGCACAACCAAATGATATTCTCTGCTTACCTACAAATATTACCATTCTTGTCCCTGTTACCAGGAGCGGTCAGTTCAACGAATTTTATGTTATCCTACCCACTTATTTTACATTTTTCTACCAGCATTGCTATCTATCTCATTTCACCTCTAAATTCATTGCAAGAAATATAACGACAACTCTGCATGAGAACGTAGGCAAAAAGAAATCAAATTAAAAACTCCGGTATATAAAGGTATTGGAATGTCTAAATTTACTTGCATAATTGTTTCGTAAACATTTATGCAATGTCGAATTAATAACAGAATACTACATCTACTACTTAGGCTAACTAGAGAATGCACACTTGACCTGAACAGTAAGAAACAAGAAAAGTATACGTTTGTTTACTTGTCGATGTAAGATTCCTTTGGCAACGTGCTTGTTTTAGCGAAGATGAAAAACACTTGACTAAAAAGAAGCGTAAGATCTAAAAGTTTGTGACGATGGTAAATTGCTATAAGTACTATGATTTTGGACATTACCCATCGTCTTGTCTAATAAAAAAAACAGAACGGTTTTTTTTTAAATAGACAAGACGATGAATAATATCCAAAAACATAGTATTTGTAAAAAGAAGAGGACAAGACAGCACATCTCGATAAATGGTAACCTCATTTAAGATCCTATCTGTGGACTTCTGGATTTTCTGTATCAAATTTTCCTTGTGCTTTTAGTCTAACTGTTCCTTATGTTTAGTTCTGCATTTTCTCTTCTGTCTTAAACACAACGTCCTTCACTTATACCTCTCTATTTGGTTTTATTTTCTTTGCTTTGCTTTAAACGATTTATTTCCTTCTTAAACATTTTTTATGTTTTATCCGTGAGATCCATGACTCCCGTTCTTTACTCGAGGTTCTCTTAAAATAGACTGCATTGAAATAATTAAATTGCGTATTCTGAAGTTTATTGTTATGTTATGACAGTCATATGAATACGATATTCCCATACATCGAAAGGAATTTACTCAAAATCGTCTGGGTTTCTTGTCATCTTTCAGTTGAGTGGTTGGTTATTTAACGACGCTCTCGGTATCGATACTGTAGAATTACGAATGGCGAATCTGAGAGAGACTGGAAGAAATCGATCGTGGCTGCATTTGCTTGGAGGGACTGAAGAGTTCCGCTTTAAACCTCAGTCAGGATAGCCAATGCCCAAGACGAGATTCGAAACGAGTACCTCACAAATACAATTTTAAATCGTTACCGCTTGAACAAAATATGCTCGTAATATACAATTTCTCTAGTCTTCAAAATAAAAGCACTTTTCACTTTAGCCACTTAACTGATACATACATTTAGTTCACTTCAGGACACACTGAAGCGTTCTTAATATTAAATTCAGGATCTGAAAACGAAAGGATATATGACCAATAGTCTCTGTCGTTTACCGCTGGGAGATGCATAGTGATTATCTTGTGCCAAGTGAAGGAACAGCTTTGGAATTACCGAACTTCGTGCACTACAAAACCATGTAGTATGGCAACACAATAATCACGTCAAAGAAGGAGAAACGAAGAATATGTACTAAGAAAAATAAGATATTTATGTTGCAAATGACAAGCCAGAATACAGCTACGAGTACACTCGGTTTTGAAGGAACAAAAGTCACTCACATCTTGTCTCTCTGGAATGTAGCGAATCAGCAATCCCCATAAAATTCCCAACAGGAAACCAAAGATCAGTCCTAAGGGCCCTTGTATTATTGACTTTGTCAGGTTATCTGAAATAAAGAAGTACTAAGTTATTATTACATGTCTGCAGGGATGTTGACGTATTCGGAGCCAGGAATGTTCTACCCAAACAAATTTTAAATATAGTATAACTGTTAGTATTTTTATTATTTGCTTGTCCAGTAAAACAAAATGAATTACGTATATTATTATTATCCTCTGAAAATCTATACTATTCATTTCTTAATTAAATATTTATGTTTCATTCCTCAATTCGTAATAACACTTAGTTTAATGATAATGAAATTATTATTACTGTCATAATTATCAGCTATTTGTTTGTTTACTTTTACTTTTATTCATTATTATTTCTTCCAAGTACTTACCTGTAATTTGTATTTGACTTTTAACAAGTTTGTCTATAATGTAATTCATTCATCTGCATTGTGCTGTGTCTGTAATTGGCCTTGCGGCTGTTGACTCGGCACATTAATAATAAAGAATTGAATTGAATTGAATTGAATTGAATATATACAGTACACACACACACACACAGACGTATATATATATATATAAGTGTATATTGTCTCTTCACAGATTTCACACTTCTATGTACATGAATAACGTCACTTAACATCCGCTTGGGAGGGAAGCGTATATGGAAAATGCAAGGAAAGATAAGCCAATCTTCGCGAGATTTGGCAGGTGCAAGAGGGAGGCGTGTCCGCGAAGTGGCTTCCTTGAGTCACGTGCTGAGGAACTGAACGGACCTCCCCGAAATGTCCCTTGGAACCCTTCAGAGAACATTGATAAATGACGAGTATTACTGGCAGATCACCAGTGAACAATGAACGCCAGGAATAGAAGGGGATGTTTAATCAAACCCGAGACATTTTATAGAGAAACATATCGAAATAATGTTAATAAAATGTAAGACTATCCTTTCAACAGGCCGTGGAGGCCCATATGGTTATGAGACGTCGAGGCTCCCACATTTTCTAGACAATCGACTCGCAGATGGCGGTGAGGTCATCTTTACTCTCCGGCCGCCCTTTACACATGGAAAAATTCCTGGTACTCATTTCAGTTAGATGCTGAGTCGAGCCCAGGGCCATAGCGCGGCTGGAAGCTTTGGGTCTATTAAAAAATGCAATGACATCACCAGGAATCGAACCCGCGATCTTCCGACTTGTACAGTAAATTTCATTAGATCCCCTTGCATCTTCCGCCCTCTCTCACAGAAGATGTCCATTTTTCTCCATTGTCCGTATTTGCTTATATTCCACTTTCAGCTGTCGTATACCGTTCGGCATAACCTCAGTTTCTGGACCTGACTGCAAGATGCGTTTCTGGCATGAGGATAATTTATGACAAGACATCTGAAGGGAAACGGACAATTTGTAGGATTTTAGGTTCTCATGGCAAAGAGTTTTATATTCTGGATTATATCGCTATGGATCAAGGTGAAAATTAACCGACGTTTCAGAGACACATATCGCACCAATATGGTGTTATAACACCAGGAAATATAACACTTCAACAAGTATTTTGACTTTCAATTTCTTTTCTGCTACAAGAACTATAATTTTTACCTGTGGAAAATATGACGTTCAGCACAACGCTAAAAGCAGAGACAGCTATGACGTCATCAAACGTTGCAGCCGCGATCACCAGTGTCGGTATTCCCTTTGATTTTCCGTAACCTCTGTCCTGCAGACTGAAGAGACATGGAATCACCACTGCTGGTGATACGGCTGCCATCACTGCTCTGGGGATTGAGCAAAAACCAACTTAAAAGGACTGACGAACACACTCAACAGACAAATTAGGCCAGTGCTCGTCAACGGCCAGTCCGCGGCAAATTATTTGCTGGTCCACAAAACCGTTACTAGAAAAACGTATTTTATTTCTTAAAGTTGCCGCGAGGAAAAAAGAAATCACAGGAAAATTGTTCCTCATTCCATTTTACTTTGATTCTAAATTCTTCCCTTCCCGTTATGAAAAGTGTTGATCTTCGAGTTCCTGCTCAGTATATCAAAGGCTTTTCTATGTTCAGTGTTTGCTATTGAAGCCAGAATTGTCCTGCTCGATGCATTTCAGCCGATAATGTTGTTTGCAGGGACTTGGATGTATCGTAGTCGTACTTATAATGGTAAAAAAAGATAAAGTTGCCCCTGTGCTTAACTAATTAAGTACTACAACATGAAGGCGTATGTGGGAGTGGTTGTATAGGCCCACATTTTCGTGACCTCGACACTTGCTGCAGTTGAGTGGTCAGCTTCACGCTTCGGTCTCCTTAAACCCGGGGAAAGGGCCCCCGGTACCCATTGGCTAGGAGGTTGGGTAGACTTAGAGCCGGTCTGGACAAAGTGGAAAGGGGAAAATTCTTGCCTCTACCGGGATTCGAAATCCGAACCCTCGGTCGTCCAGCCCGTAGCCAGGCGCTATACAGACTACGCTATCCCGGCTCCTGCCTTATACTCGTAATGGTAGATCCTTAAATATTAAAATACTGTTTTGAAGAATAATTACATATTTCTAACCCCATAATGATTGGGGCGATTGCACTAATAGAATCGTTATTATTGTTTCAATGATACAAGCTGTCTTCTTTTGTTTGTGCGTAGGCGTTTGCTTCGTTCCCCCCACCCCCATTTCTCGTGCTTACCGTATAATTAGTGTTTGGCCTGTCGGATACGCATTTAAGGAAATAAAGAATTGTAATGAAAAAATGGTACGAGTGTTCAAATTACGACCAACATCTTGCTTCGCTGGACCTCTCTATATGGCGTTTGTACATAGTACCAATGCAGTGTCATTTTTATTCTTTTAATTTCTATTCTGCCTATTTAAGATCTAAATACATTTATGCCTGCATAAATTTAACGATCCGCCGTGAGGAATTTAGATATTTACGGCCTGCAATATAGATCCAATCTTCAGGAATGCTGATGAAGGCAATTTGAATCAATAAGTAGAAGTGACATTCGAAAGAGAGCCGTCTTCTAAGTTATGGGCTCTTACCGCTAGGTGCAGAAACAGAACGCACGCAGAGGAGAAAATATCCTTATTAAATGTGTGTCCGATATTTCAACTTGAGAAAGGTTAACAAATATTCTTGTAAACAAACACGAACCTCGTGCCTTGTAAAGCCTCGCATGACTCGTATCATCTAACTTTGTACAACACAGCAGAAGGGCAAATTTGTGACGTGGGAACTATCTATCTATCTATGGCTCTACAGCCCTTTAGTTGGATCTTGTCCGCTTATTCAATTTCTTAGTATACACACAATCGGTAGGACTCCTTGGATTGAGAATCAGCCCGCCACAAGACCTCTACCTACACACAGGACAACACAAATACAGAATAAATACACATACAGACATCCATGACTTGAGTAGGATTCGAACACATAATCCCAACGTTCGAGCAGGCGAAGACAGTTCATGCCTTATACCGGGCGGCCACTGTAATCGGCCGTGGAAGCAATAGTAGCACTATTTCTGAAATCTAATTAATACAGCAAGTAACAGCAACCACAAGAATTGCAAAGTTGAATTCTTCCTCGAAACATGGAATGTTGTACATTGTGCAGGCAACCTTAAGGAAGGGAGTTTGAATTTCTAACCGGCTTGAAAACGGGGGCACGCTGTAGCGTAGTTGGTTGAGGCCCTATGCTACAAGCCGGAAGGTGGCGGGTTGCAGTCATGATGAGGTGAATTTTTTTCAATTTACCTAATCCTTCCAGTCCCAATATTGCCCTGGGGTCGACTCAGCCTCTAACAGAAATGAGTACCAGGAATATTTCTGGGGGTAAAGGGCGGCCGGCGTGTAAGGCTGACAATCTTACCGCCATTTGTGAGCCGACTGTCTAGAAAATGTGGGAGCCTCAACCTCTCACAATCCTATGGGCCTCTACGGCCTGCTACAGGGATACCTTTTCTTTTTACTTTACCTGCTTGAGAACACCTGAAGTGCAGACTATTCTCGAATATTACAGTCTGTGCTTACCCTACTAGAGCACTCGCTAGAATTTCGGCTTGTTAATTCTATGCAAATATCTTTGAGGTTACATCGACCTTGTGGGAAGAATGTCACATCTGAATGAAGATGTTGCTTCCCATTATCCATTCAAAATACACTCTGGCATGTTATAAATGGCGACACAGTTAGCGTCTGACGATGGATCACTCTCGCGGGTACTTTACACAAACTTATATTCGAAGAGAGTACATACGAATTGTACTGGCTGTTCTTACCCGAGCAAAATGCCCCAAACCCAAGGCAAGCCGAGCAGGAAGTGCGACATCACAGCTGTCGATAAGGCTTCTGCCAGCGAAGGTAACACTGCCAACCTGACCACCATGCCAACCATTCTCCTTAGGGCCGTTGGATCTAGCCCAAGGCCCGCTCGGATTAGGATGATCACCAAGGCGACCTTTCTGTGCAAAAATATTTCTACATGTAAAGCAAATTAAATGGCTAATATTCAGCTCAGCTAACTGACTTACACAGCACTGTAACAGAAACAAAGCTGGAGAGAGAAAAGGGGAAAAGGGAAAAAAAAGGACGTAGAGAGAATGAAATATAGCGAGAGAAAAACAAACGAACAAAGATAAGGAAGACGAAAACCAAAACATGACAAGAGAAAGAAAGCGAGACTTCAAGAGAGAAAGGTATAAAACGAGGCATAAAGTGAGAGAGATAGAAGGCAAGACAGATAACGGGAAGCGAGAGATTGTGAAAGAAACATAAAGAAAGAGAGAGAAACAACAAAAACTAGAAAAAAGGAAGAAAGCGAAACAGACGAAGACAAAGAGAATAGAAAGTGAGAAAGAAAGAGAAATGACAGAAGAGAAGGAAAAAGGAGGCGTAAAGGGACAGGAAGGAACAAAACCAGAGGAAGAAATGAAGCCAGACAGAGAAATAGAATATATGAATCCATATAAGAATCATTATTCAGTAATTTAAGATATGTAGATTTTATCGCCTGATGATGGCTCCATGAGAGCTGAAACATGTTGCAACGCTGTATTTAACTCAATAAAGACTCAGTTGACACGACAGAGTAGAAGTGGGCTGTTTTAATTGATTGTTCTGTTTGAAAGATATATATATATATATATATATATATATATATATATACATACATATAGTGATAAACACGCAAGAGGAAGTATTCCTTGAAGAGAAAAATAGTAATTAAGCAAGACAAAAAGACAAAGGGAAAGAAAGAATATGGGAATAAGAAATACAAAATAGAGTGAGAGAGGAAATTGGATGGAAAGAATGAAAGAAAGAATGAGAGTACAAAGAGGACAGGGAAGAAATGAGAGACAGAAAGATGGACGATACAGATGGCCTATAGAACAATTCCAAAAGCCCAGTGCCACGAGATGTCTGCAGATTGCGGTACCTGATGTCAGCTGCTAGGATTTCGTAAGGGCCCGTGAGTTCCACGGACCCCGTGTTTCGGAGCACGATGCCCATCACCAGCATGCCAAAGAGTGGAGGCACTCCGATGGGGTGCAAGACAGCGCCGGTTAGGTGCGCCGCAATACCAAGGACACCAATTCTGAAAAGCTGTCCCTCTGGGCCCGCTGCATTTCCCGCCATGATGAACATGTTTCCCCAAAATAGGAGCACCAGACACAGCAGCACGATACAGCGGGACACACAAAGTCTTGCTGGGTGCGTCCTGACGCCCTTGCAGGCGTCTCGCAGACAGGAAGTCCTGTAATGCAAGTCTCTATATCACGTGAGCCACATGGCGTCTACTACGAGAAACTGGCCGAATTTATGGAGCAGTGGCTCAACTGGTCAAGAAATTTGTTGTTTGTCCCAAAGATTCATTTCTGTGAGAACTGGGGCTCTCGAGTTGGCCACTACAAAGAGTTCTGTCTTCTAGTATGTGCCGCCATGAAATTTGGCAGATATTTATGGACTTTCCAAATACTGCCATTCTCAGGTTAGAATGCGGAGGCAACAGGGTTTCTGAGAGTCTGGTAAATACATACCAGATTACACGGTGTCATATCCTTGAAAACAATAATAATTTCCATATCTGTACTCCGTTTATTTAAGTTTCATTTCCTCAGTATTCTCTCATCTACGCTTAGGTCTCTCGAAGTTTCCAATTTAAATTATTGCCCTATACTTCTGCTGCATGTCTTGCCAATTTCATTGCTCCTGTTTGACAATCATAATGATTACTGAAAAAGTACAGAACTTCAGATTTGAATATTTTTGTAAAACTTGCTTGATCTCTATTCCGGAGGTGCCCGACTGTAATTTCGGTTGAACACCTACCAACTTGGCTCAGTTTTCATGATTTCCACAGTCCCTCCAGGTAAATGCCAGGATAGTAGCTCATACTAAGTTTTGACCGTTTCCTTTCAAATACTTTCCAATTCATTATTAACTATAATAACTAATACATAATAATAATAATAATAATAATAATAATATAATATAATAATAATATTAACTAAATAGACTAGAAGCCTGATGCAGGTGTGGGAGTAGCCCTAATTCAAGGACTGCGTCATTGTGATCGAATTAGCAGCTTCGGGAACTTTTATGTGTTTTACGAAAATTACTAAAAAGAGCTAAATATTCAGGCCTATGCAGAATTTCCAAATGCATTTTTAGCACTCTGCGTACTCTATGGCCATTAATGTTCAAATACGGCAGTTAACAATTTTCTGTAGAAATTTAACTAACAAACAAGTATATATTCTAAAGAGAGCCATGAGTATCGTCACTCAAGAATATAAACAATAAATCAATTATGGGGCTCTGCAACCACGCTTTTATAGTCCGTTGAAAAGGACCAGGATGAAATTTGTAAGATACTGGTATGTTTCACATTTATAGACCTACACAAATAAAATTCCTTTCAGTCATTTCGGGAACAGACGCGCATGACGAACAGTTACAGTATTTCGCAACATTGCACAACTGTTCAGAGAGAGTGTGCATCACAAATACGACAATCATACTAAGTCGGTACGCTGGAAATTCTCAGAAGCTCATGATCAACACAGAAAATTACTATATGATTCATAGCTATAAACTTATCATACCAGATCAATATAGGATGATTGTAAATTATTGTTGGAGTTTCCGTGGTATATAATATTCGAACTGGAACAACAAAATGAAACTGCTTATGAAATATGAAAGTGTAACTCAAAAAGGTTTATTTAATTTCAGCCGCATTGATGTCTGGGTGAAAATATGACGTCATGTCTCAGAATTGCAACTGTTCAAGAGAAAGGAATGTGCCTACTTCGGTTTTTCGAAACAAAGTCCGTTATAAAAATGCAACGTCGTTACAGAACTCAGATCTGATCAACGCGTTGCCAGGCAATAGCTATGTAAACACAGCCCAACAGGCAACAATATGAGGGTGTTTCTTTATGTCGTCCGCACCGAGCAACAGAAGGAATGGGGTTCTATGTGACCAACTGCTAGATTACGCAACGGTTCTTACAATAGAACTGTACTTTCTCTGTGGTAGGTGCCAGGGATATACAACGAGATTCCCAGAATAACCCAGGGTGTAACCCGTGTGGAGGCGGGCTCGAATACCTCCACCGCGAACCTGCGAGTCGTAGAAGGCGACGAAAAGGAAGACTCAAATATGATACAGCAAAATATGGTCGCGAGTTCCAAGGGACTCGGACCCTAGAAAGACTGCGCTGGCAAGAGCCAACAGCATGTACAAATGACAGACCCGTCCTCTCGTCAGAGAGGACCGCCTACAAAAAACAAGACCGTAACTGTCAAAGAGTAATAAATATCTGGTCATGAGCCCCAGATGGAGCTCGACATCATGACTTGAAAGACTAAAGTTGCTACTATCAGAACTAATAAGTGAATTTCTCTTATGATAAAATGTTCAGTAATTTTGTAATGATCATTATATTACTGCGTCTTCCTTAAGCACAGGAGACCTACTCAATACGACATAAAAATGCGAGGATAGGATTGTTCTTGCCCCACACTGTGAACATTTCATGTGTTCCTGTTACAATTTCCACCAGAATTACGAAAGCCAGAGGCTCCAGTCGCAGTCTGATAACCTCTGCCGCAGAGAGTAAACATCTCACTTACGCATCCTCTGAACTTGTGTAATCCGCAGCAGTAATCTCTAGCAGTCTCTTCGAATCACTTTCTTCCGACTCTGGTCCACTTGTAGAAGAAAGATAAAACTTCGGCTCTTCGAAAGTTTCATATCCCGCGGATCTGACCCTTGGCTGCAGCATAGGCTCGGTTTCCCGGTGGGTAGCAGCCATCTCGATGCCTTACGAAGCACTGAAGATATGCATGACTCCTTATCTAAATTAGGCAAGAGTGTGGTTGGACTGGATTGTGTACTCGTCGCAGTGTGTTTGGATGTTCGTAATCAGGGATGTATCCTAGCAGTAGATCTTAACAACGTGTTCTGTGCAAGTGTCATAGCTCCAACACATGAAATGACGAGAGGTTACGTGGGTGCAGCAATTCGTAAATACGAGCCGAAATAAATAAGAACGTGCAGTCTTGTAAAGTTTGAAACATACACACTGGAAAAATATGGTACACAAATTTTTAATTATAAAAGGGTGAAATGGAATATTTTATTATAATTTGGACTTCTTTAAAGCAGTGATTGTTTGTCTTTTTGACGGTTACCAATTAAGCATATTTAAAAATCCCTACTTCCGTATTTCTTAGATAATTTGAAAATTACAATTTAACATTTTTTATTATATTTAGTTTCCTTATATATCAGTTGAACGAAACTTAATACCTATTGGATTCCGAAATTATTATCCTTGTACATACAACATACGTGTAAATGGAAATAACACAAAAATTACAAATGCAGTAGAATGCTAATTCTTATTTTCTTCACAAACCGTTGCAGGTAGGCCCATGTTTATTTGAAATTTTTGACCCATTATGATCCCAAGAGCATGTATCTAAGCTATGCACACTTTATTGCGAGACACTCAGCATAGGTCTCAGATGGAGTATCGTAGAAAATATTGGTAAAAAAATATTCAGAAGTACTGGGTTTTCGGACTTCGTCCATCGTCCGGTATTCTACGTAGGTCGTACCGAAAGTCATGAGCAACTTTTTTTGCATGCAACCTGGGAACAGCAGACGAAAGAGAGTATGGTGGTAGGTGGAACCAGCTGTTGTGTTAACCTTGAGTGTCTTGTGACGTCAATAGCTTGCATCACGTGACCAGTATCACTCCTAACAAAATGGCCGACAACGATATGTCGTTTCGCCAGCGTGCTGTCATCGAATTTCTTGTGATAGAGGAAATCCCTGCTGCAGAAATTCACCAGAGACTTCAGCGTGCTTATGGAAGTGTGTTCATGGGTGCGAGCAATGTTCGAAGATGGGTGAAACATTTTGAAGATGGGAACACCAGCATCGAAGATGAGCTTCGGAGCGGTCGTCCTCGAACAGCCTCGAATGAACGCAGCAAGGAAAGCGTGGATGAGATCATTCAAGATGACAGGCGTGTGACTGTGGAACAAAAGCCCGAAAACTTGGAATAGGCCACAATGTAGTACAGGAGATGATTGAAAGCTTGGGCTATACGAAAATTTGTGCTCGTTGGGTCCCGCTGTTATTGATCGAAAACCACAAAGGTCAGCGAAAAGCCATCACCTCAGAACTGCTGCAGAGATATCGACAGGAAGGCGATGATTTTTTGCTCTGTATTGTGACAGGTGACGAAAGCTGGTTTCACTATTTCGAGCCTGAAACGAAACGGCAGAGTATGAAATGGCACCATTTGCATTCTCCATCAAAAAAGAAGGCAAATACAGTGCCATCAGCTGTGAAGGTGATGGGCACAGTCTTCTGGGATGCAGAGGGGTTTATCTTACCGATTTCCTGGAACCTGGGCAAACCATCAATGCTGCTCATTATGTCCAGACACTGGACAAGCTCCGTCGTGCATTGCGCGATAAACGTCCGGGACGAAACATCATCATCCTGCATGACAATGCTCGCCTCACATCAGAAGCAATTGCAAAGATAGGGGGGGGGGGAGTTCTTCCACACCCCTCCTATAGCCCTGATCTAGCACCCTCCGACTACCATCTTTTCGGATTTGTGAAGGATCAGCTACGTGGACAACGTTTTGAGACAAGGGAGGCAATTCAGAAAGCAGTGCGTCAGTGTCTTCGGATGGCTGGAACGGAATTTTACAAAGGGGAATATTCAAACTCCCAGAACGCTGGGAGAAATGTGTACAAAGAAGTGGCGATTATGTGGAAAAATAAAGAAAGGTCTGCAGATTGAGGCGGTGTATTTGGTTTGTCAATAATAGAGCATGTTACTTTACAACTTTCAGTTTACGACTTTCAGTACGACCCTCGTACAAACTAGAAAACATAACATTTCGGAAACTGGATCTGTTTCCGTCCTCAGATGAAATGGGGGATGTCTGGTGACATGTGTTGTCTGGTAATTGAGGTTAGCTCTTTCTAATGTACCCAACAGAGTAGGTGTCTCCTCCTCACCTGAGGAGAGAAACAGATTCAGCTTTCGAAGCGTTGTGCTTTCTATTTTCTAGAATACCGGACGATGGATAAAGACCAAAAGCCAGTTGATTCTGAGTGTTATGCACTATCGTCAGAATCCTTCAGAATCTAACAACAAATGTGTTTATCTTGGAGAGATAACTCTTGGTAGGGTAGCACTGTTAACTTTGTTGCCACGTGAATGACTTCGAGTCAAAGTCGACATGCGTTTCCCTATGAATTGCTCCGTAAGCAAATCATTGGGATCTTAAAACAACGAGAGAGTGACGAAAATGGATACATAATATTTTATAGTAACCATGATAACAAGGCGCGTTTACACTGCAGTAAGGCATGACGCATGCTAATAAAAAAATATCTGAAATTTCCGCACAGACTATTTTTCATAGGAAATGTAGCATTATCTAAACCAAAGCGACTAAGCGAACAAAATTTTTGCTTCTTTATTTTACAGTCTATTGGAGAAAATTCAAAACGTTAATTGGTAATAAATCCTAAATTAAATTAATGAGTGATATAAGTAAAATATATTTCCTAATTTTACAATTAAATGAACAATGACAGGATTCCAAAAGTTTTCAAACCATGCACAAAAAAGAGAAGTAAATTTAGAATGATCCCTGAAAAATGGGATGGACAGTAATTATCCCTAGGTTAAGAAACATTGATCTCAAATTGTGAATGGTTATTTCCCAATACAGTCACTATGTGAGAACTGATGGTTGGAGCATGACTAATGAAAGCCAGAATAGTGAATCCAGCAGAGACAGCCGTTGCTAGGTAACGGCTCTGCAAACACGCCCGTTGTTAGACAATGTTTCAATAGCCGTCATGTGATGGCCGCAAAAGACAAGCATGTGACAATAGAAGAGCTGTTTGAGGCGCTGTTTTCTTTGCGGTCCATACCAGGCTGTATAACGTGGACCAGTCGCCATTACGACAGAGTCCTGAGACGGCATTTAGAAGAGTAGCAGGTTGGTGTGAGATGGCCACCAGCCTGCGAGAGCGTGAGCCCGGGAGCAGAGGAACGTACACTCTTTGAAGAAATTACGAAGCAGGGCAGTGAAGACCACGAATGAGAGCACTAGATTTTGTGTTATAGTGATTTGTAAAGTGTAGTCACGAGTTTTTTAAGATTCCAATAAATCCTATTACTAATCCGAACCCCATCTATATTCTCTATATTCACGTCACAATTTTGTGGTACAGGAATTGGAAGCTTCTTCTTTTCTTTCTTTCCTAGAACAGCTCTGGGGACCATCCATCCACCTATCCAAGGGGAACCTACGATCTCCCTTGAAATCAGGAGGCCCGAACGTGAAACTGTCCAATTGGTTCTATGAACAAAGTGAGGAAGTTAGATTCACATGTCGTTGTACTCCATGAGAGTGCAGTGTTCGAACACAGACGATATCTTTAGCTCTTATCATATATTTTATTACCCGGATTCAGAGTCTATCTAATATTGGAAAACTTCCAAAAGAATATATATCGTCATGAAGAGCAAAGCATTTTTGCTTTTTTGTTGGTGAAGACCCAGGCTCGGTCCATGGATCAGCTATTTTGACTGGAGTTATTCGTGGTCTTCCCCTGTACTTCCTGGTAGATGCCATGATAGTACCTCAAATGAAATCACGGCTGTTTCCTTTCATATACTTTCCAAATTAATATTGACCAATCATCCTGACATGCAAGACGATACGACTATAACCTCGGTGCTGAGAACGTCATTAAATGACGTATAAGAAGAAAGAGTTCTCTTATTCGACGATAAACAGACTAATCTCAGCAACTGGAGGCACAGTCACATAAGCCAAGAGTAAATGAAATGGAAGTGAAAATTACATAAAATTCATCCTTCGCCACAAGATGACAGTTCATTTTCTTCAAGATTTCGCACATTCACTCTCGCTTGGGAGGCCGGTGCTTATACGTTACCGGCTCCACCTATGTTTCACGCTTCTTTTTCCGTTTTCTAGGAGGTCGACCCTTCCACAGGGTCCAATCCTTGTTTGCCCACAACTCAACAGCTGATCTGACCATTCGCTTGGCGATTTCCAGTCTTGTAGTTTTCGTGAAATTAATGTCAAAATTTCCCGTGCTTTCCACTTTACCTTCTTCAGACCTCGTTTCTTCAGATATCGAGGCTGTCCTCCGCCTGGGTCCTTCACTTCATTTCTGTGTTGTAGTTGTTGTCTCAGGCCTCGGTCCCTTATGCCAGCGTTGCGTTCCGGGCCCTTCCACAGTCTTTTCCCCAATGTCTCTCTTTCGGGCTTCTTCGTGTGACATCGTCTTTCTTTCGCCCCTTACATCTGTGTCCTGCAGAGCGGGTAATCTTCTGTCTGGCTGCTTTCACTTCCTTTCGCGGTCCACAATTCTTTGGTTCCAAGATTTCATGAAGATATTCCTCTTGCGCCATCCCACTGTTGCATGGCGGGACACCTTCCTGCAGGCAGCAGCCAACTTCCTCCGGATCCACAATCTCCTTGGGTCAGTTCCTTTGGCTCTCCACGTCGCCCTACAGATTGCTTCTTGCCCCTGTGCCGCTTCTTCCGTCCGTCGACCGGTTTTACTACGGCATTTTCTACGGGGACTTCCACTTGCGCCGCCTCAGGTTTCCTGTCCAGTGAGGTCGGCTTTTCTTCTTCAAGACGTGCCTCCGTCTTTTCTTGGCAGGCCATCGTCTCTTCGTCTTTTCCGGTTTCAATTTCAGCCACCATTTCCTTGTGGCTGGCGTCCATCTTTTATTGCGTGGCGGCCAACTCTTCTCGCCAGCCTTTCATATCGGTGTCCATCTTTTTCAGGTGGGCGCCCATCCTGTCCAGCAGCAATTCGATCATTTTTTTCCATTTCCATAATGTGGCAGTATAATGCACTCGTAAATTCAATTATTAATTGTAACTTGTGGCGTGTTTAAGGTCGTAACCACTGCTGAAGAATCCAATATTATCCGAGCCGCCAGCTTCTGACACCAAATTTGTCACGTGTAGGGGGTACGCGTGACGAAATGACAAGTTCTAGTTCGGATGATTGGATTTATTGACAGCTTGGTAACACGCACTCTGTCAATTACAATCAGATACACAGCGCTATCGTTGATTTACATACACGAGATCTTCTAATCCACTGTTGCATGCACCGTCGCACACATGAAGTCTTCTACATCACACTTGAC